TTCTTTGAATAATGCATCTTTCTCTAATCTTTCTCAGGCCACTGTGGGAGAGCCAAGTGGTATTTGAGACCAAGCAGCAAGGCCATCAAATGGTAATGAAATTACATGTACTAGTACTACATTTTTTGGTACAAGAGATGTATACATGTATGATATATGTACTTTGTATGATATATATATATACTTGGTGCTTATTGCACAAATTAAGATGGAGAAGCTTATGCTTTTAATTGACATTGCATAACTGTTGTGAGCAACTGATTGGCTGTTGTAGCCAAACCCTTTTTGTAATCCTGTTTTTTCCCCACAGTTGTGCAGTACAGTAACAGGAGAGGGACTAGGTTGGGTCCTGGATGAGCTGCGAGGTCTGAGAGACTTCCTGGAGAAAAACGCGCTCTCCACCGGCCCGGCCGCCGCCAACGGGTTCGGGTCACCACGCAACATCCACCAGAGGATGCTGGGATTCCTGCGGCCGGACGCGGGTGTGTCAGGTGCAGGCCAGGTGCAGCAGCAGCTGCAGAGGAAATACCAGAGTAAGAATCAGTGAAATAGCATCACCTTGCAGTTAAGATGAAAACTGCAGTTGATTCATGTAACATCAAAGACAGAGAGCTAAGAAACAGCTCCAAGTTACTGACAGTGAAGTGACAAATCAGATATGTCGTCATAGAAAAGTCAAGAACAGAAGAACACCTAGTACCTTCTCCTATAGAACTTTTTATGTAGCATGTACATTTATACAGTGAGTAACAACTGTGGTTCATGATCTATGCTTTTCCTAATGCAATTCATAATGCTTGCTCATGTCATTTACTTGATGTACAGAAGAAAAGTCTTTCTATAAGTCAAACATAGGCATACCCGGGGGTATCAGTATTATTTTCCATATCTACTTTTAATACCTTTATATCATATCCAGGCCATGATAACTTTCGATAACGGTATTACAGACCATGGTTGCCATTGTGCGCCACTTTGAAAAAATTTGAATACAGGATTCGGACATTGGAATTGATGTTGTTGCATTTGCTGGTGTAGGGACACCAAATTTCTGCTCATTTCCCTAAGTACCCCGTGTTGTATTCTATATGTATCTATCCATGTGTAGTATAATAGTATTGTCTGATCCCTTGTTTTGTTGTATTTCCAGCTGAAGCCCAGGCTGCTGAGAAGGCCTCCCTGGTGCAGATACAGCAGCTGGTACATCGGACATGTGAGGTACTGGGACTGTGGAGGGCTCTGTGTGAACACCCCTTCCAGGTCGTGGCTGCAGGACTACCTAAGGTATGGCTGTGAGCATGTGGCTGTTAAAAATTCTTTGCAGGGCCTGAATGTGAGGATTGTACAGTCAATTGTATAGGCATAAGTGCAAGCAGTGGTAGAAATACTTTTTTTCAGTGTTCCTGCAATATTGCAGAATGTCCAAATTTTGTTCTGCAATTCAATTTCAAACCACTGGATGTCTCTTGTGCATCCAGTGTTTTTTGTAAGGTTTCAGAACTTAATGTCAGTGTTTGTGCTTCTACTAGGAGATGCAAAGCCAGCTCCGTGGTCTGAGGTTCAGGGATGTGATTGTGAATGGAAAGGAGGTAAGGCTCTCTTTCTCTAAGCATGCAAAATTACATGTACCATCAGTTTTCTTTCTGGTGTAAGAATTCCATGCCTGAAATTTAGACCATCAGCCGTATGGATTGTTTGTTGTCTTTCTAGATCCTGAGTGCTCTCATCACGTGTCTGATCAACCGTTACCTTGGTGATGACGCAACAACAGATGCCATCAGCTCTCGTCTACGGGAGGTCTGCCCCTCGCTGTACAGCACTGAGGACGCAGTCTGCTCCAAGGTCTGTTTTCCATCAAACTTACTGAAAGCTCTACTTTTGTGTATTCGTGAAAAACAAGCAAGACACTCACAGATTTTATTACATACTACACAGTGCTAAAATTGTATTTTTACAGAGATTACAGACTGACTGACTGTTTTTTTTTGTCCTGAATATTCTGCAGGCGAATGAGCTGCTGCAATCTGCTGGTAAAATCCAGTCCAGTGTGGAGAGGATGAAGATGCTGCAGGAATCTCTGCAGCTGTACAGGCAAATCAGCAGCCAGATCAACCTGCCCATGGTCTGTGGGCAGTTCCAGCAGGGTAAGACTCGCTTGAACCAGTTCCACCAGAGGATATAACTAGATTAACTAGTTAGAACCACATCTGTGGAAATCTGCAGACAGATCAGCAGCCAGATCAACCTGCCCATGGTCTATGGGCAGTTCCAACAGGGTAAGGCTGGCTTAGACCAGTTAAATCTAGTTCCACCAGACTGTAGAACTGGCTTACACCAGTTAGAACCACATCTGTTATATTCTTCAGATCAGTAGCCAGATGAATCTGGCCATGTTTTGTAGGTAGTTGCAGCAGGGTAAGACTGGCTTGAACCAGCTAAAACTAGCTCTGCCTGGATAAAACTGGCTTAAACCAGTGAGAACCACATGTGTTGAATTATACAAATCAGCAACCAGATGGATCTGTCAATAGTCGGTGGGTAGTTCTAACTGGGTAAAACTGGGCTGAACCAGTGTGAACCAGTTTTGATAATGAGAAATATCAGTGTACTGGATGTCTAACCTCCTGTTTGCTGTTTGTCCATGCAGTCCACTTCTATGACGGTGTGGTTGAGTTGAGCCTGAACTCTGCCCAGAGGAGAGATCCCCAGGGCCTGGCCCTGCACCACTACAGGAGTGGGGAACCTCCAGAGGACACACAGGGCAGCATGGCTTTCACTGCAAGGTCAGTATTTGTTTCCACAACTCAAAAGACAGTCTTTTTATGTTACCAGCACTTCTGTCATTTCGGAAGTTTGTCAGGAATATTGCCTTTAGTTTGTCAGAAATGACTGATGCTGGCAGAAATACCCAAACATCGACTATACCCGAGAAAATCCTGGTACTCAAAATTTTTTAAATCGTCCATGGCGTGAGGGGTTGCAAATCGACTCTGAGGAAGCCGCATCGCGAAATCTGGGTCAAACGGGCAGATTACACTTGGAAGTAAGGTTTGGAGCCAAAATCAATTTTCACCCCAAAATCACCATTTCTTACACTCATCAGCCATGTTAACGTTTAATGATATTTATGTGCAATTTACGACGAGAAATGTTACCTCAAACTTGGACCCTCAAAACCACTTTTTTTACCACGCACTATCACAGACCCCTGTCACGGAAGAATTGGGCTGTTCACTGTTAATGCTTGTGTCAATCTGAAAAATCTTTAATGGATATATGACTGGTTTATTTATTTCACACAAATACAAATACAAATACAATACCATAGCAGCCCTTCGGCTGAATTGTGGTTATTGTTTACATTTAAACAATATAAAATCAGCTACAATGTATAACGATTCAATACAACAATGTTAAACAATATAAAATCAGCTATAACGATTCAATACAACCATGACTTACACAATGAACATGTCAACTATCATTTAGTAACTTTACAATGAAAGGTAAAGTACTGTTCTTAAATCTCGATGTTCTGCAGCTAAATTGACTGATTTGATTTTTGGACCTGAGTTCTCTGCCATGTACAATTGCACGTGTAGGCGGTAACCAACTGGAGAAAGTAGGGGATCTTGATAAAGACACTGCAAACTTCTTACAGAGTAGGACTCGTCTCTGGTACAGAGAGGTAAGGGACAGCTGGCCTAGGGCAGCATCATAGTTGACGTAGTTCTTACCCAATACAATTCTACATGCTCGCCTTTGCACAGACTCTATGTGTCTAGACTGAACAGAGGTGATGCCTGGGTGCCACACGGGGCAGGCGTACTCTAGTAGTGGTCTTACAAAACCGCAGAAAACTAGAATCAAGTCATTATCACCAAGTCCATACTTCTTTAGCACTCGCACCAGGTAAAGTCTACGGTTGGCTTTGCTCACCATGGAGTTTACATGGGCGGACCACTTGAGATCAGATTGGATCAACAAAATGTTTTCCTTACATAGAGGTGGTCCTTATGTAGAGGTGGTGGCACATACAAGTTTATCTGTAAATCAAATCAAGTCAAGTCACGTGCTGTACTGTACATTTGTACATAGGTTGGAGTGTTACAAGTGTGTGACTGATGCCCTGGGCCAGCTGGTGACTATCTCCCAGGAACACCCCGGCTCCCCCAGTGTACCCAACAGACCTGGCCCCCCTCCCGACACCAGGGGCAGGCTCAGCGCTGTGGAGGCTCAGCAGTATGTAAGTACAACTTTCCCATTCAATTTACCAACTCATTATTGACCGGTGCAATAGCTCAATTGGTAGAGTGTTCGCTTTGTAACCGGGAGGTCGTGAGTACACACTTCTTTCTCTGCTTAGCACTCAGCACATATGAGAAAGAGTGTGGGAAGGTCAAACACACAGCACCACCAGTGGACTAGCCCCCTGCTGTAGTGCCCTGCACAACTGTGTGTCGCCCAAGGGCTACGGAAATGGACACGGGCACCAAACTCTATGCTCTGCATAGAGCACGGGAGACCTTTTATCCAGTGCAGTTTTTAGGGCTTGGAAACCCGACTTTTCAAAGTCAATATTCTAGTCATTTATCTACATACTGAGTTGAAACCACACAGTCCCAATGTATATTGACCATTATGGAGCAAAAATACCCAATATTCTGAAGGAAAATTGGTACTGGAAAGGCCCTGGACTGATTTTTTAGGGTACCACCCAGAAAATAAAGGACTCATTTTGGGGCTCATTTCTCCAGTTTTAAAAGCCAAAAGTATGAAATGCTGACTCAAATGCGCTAAATGTAAAGCACTATGCGTCAATATCACAAGGATTGCCTTACTCAGAATATTTCCAGTTTTGCTGACCTGAAATTGCGTCGGATGCCTTTGAAAACTGTTATTGTTTTGTTGTCCCCAGGTTGACCAGATGATGCGGCTGGCGCTGAAATCGGAGGATGAGCTGTTCCATGTGGCGCTGTACGACTGGCTGGTCAGCACAGGCCTGCAGGACAAACTACTCGAGGTTTGTTTGTTTGTTTGTTTGTTTAGATCTCTTAAATCTCTTAAAAACTCTTTTCATACCAATGTTTACTCACATCAATCATACATAGTTGTTATATTTATGGTTTATTTACCTTCGCAGAAGGAAAACATTGTTTTTGCTCAGTTTCTTCTTCCTCTTCTTCTCCAAACAAATGAGGTCAATGACCTGGATCAGATGTCTGTCACCATGGTAACTGAGGTACTGTACTACTCTGTAGCAACACCCTGTGGTGTTGGGTTACATTATGTAGCAGGACAGAGTTGGAGGGACTGCTCACCATATATTATATATGAATGTGTTTGAGTTAAACAATACAGAATATGTGAATCGAACATTATACATTTGCTTTGCAAATGTTACCTTTCTAGTTTGTTTTAAAATCAGCAACTTCCTAATGTGATAAAGCTCATGTGATGGGTATTTTTCTGCACTAAATAATTTTCAAAATTTGTGTTTTTTCCAGATCTCGTCTCCGTATATTGAGCCATACCTGACACGAGCGGCCCAGTACCAAGGTGACAACATTGCGACCTATGACCTCCTGTGGAAGTATCACGAGAAGAGCAGAAACTATTCAGCAGCTGCACAGATCCTGTCCAAACTGGCTGAACGACACAGGTCAGTTACTGAGTTAGAAATGCTTTGTCATGTGAAGTGAGGCCTAGGAAAAATGTTGTGTTTCCTGTTTCCCAACCAACTCTAGAAAAAGCTGCCGTCCCTAGGCTTTTTTGTGTGGACCCCTGCAAGGGACATAATTTTTCAAGCTGATTTTTTAAACCTTTTTTAGCTCCATGATCTACTCCCCAAGTGATGAAACACTGTACAATCAGTTGTTAAACCAAATTGTATTAAGTTCATTCACTAGACATTGGAAAAGTCTAATAAAAAAAAAGATAGTCCTTACCTAAGTCTGAATAGTGTTCGTTTTCTTCCTAAAAATTTGGATTTAGTAAGAAAACTTTTTCTTTACGTCTTGAAGCCTGTAATACTGTTCAATCAAAGACAAAGACATGGGGATCCTGATATGACAAAAAAACATTGTTTTCTCTTTGAAAACCTTTGGGAACCTTGCCATTAGCTACATATGTCTTTACTTTCTAAGCTGACTAGTTCACCATGTCACCAGTGAACATGACCATGAGAATGTATTGAAAGGAAAGGGAGCAACAACCTTCTTTTTGGCCTATGATCCTTCCAGCACTGATGTAGACCTGAAGCAGAGGATTGAGTACCTCTCCCGCGCCGCCATGTGCGCTAAGAGCAGTACGCAGGCCGGTGGCGCGGCTGACGGGGAGTTCCTGCACGAGCTGGAGGAGAAGCTGGAGGTGGCGCGGCTACAGGTGCAGGTCTGCGAGGCTCTGGCACGCAGCGGCACCAGGCTACCCCGGGCACAAGAGGCACTGGGGCAGCTCAACGCTGAACTGGTGGACATAACAAGGGTAGGTCTGTTCAAAGACAGGGTATAGGGAGATCTGACTTGTCTATGGATAAATACTGGTATGATTATGATTAGAATTATGTTGAAATAGGGTTAAGATATAAAGACACAAAATTTTTTAGAAACTTTCCACTGTTCTCCAAGTCAAACCTAGCAATTTGTTGTTACACATGAACAAAACCATGTGGTCAATGGGGTCAGAGAACAGAGAAATATTGAGTGACTTGCGTATATCTTCTGGTAATTCTTTGAGCTGATAGCTTAAAGTTTTTTATTTATTTTACTAACTCAGGTAAACTATCATTGATAATAACTAAGAGTTTTCGCCCTCCTATACAGCTGTATGGTGACTTTGCCGACCCATTCAGACTGTCCGAGTGTAAGCTGGCCATCATCCACTGTGCAGGCCACCATGACCCAACACTGGTGGAGAGTCTATGGCTGGAGATTGTACAGAAAGGTTCACAGCCATTCTTTATTCAATGGACCTTTCAGTGCTGAAACATTGTCATTGTACAATGAGAGCACGTCGCACTGCGTACATGTAATTCTGTAAAGTGTTGACGTGATTTTGAGCTGTCGGACTCTTGATGTTTGATGAAGTGCCTTGTTTCATTGCCATGCTGCAGTTTCCCCAGAACATGCTAGGGGACTCTCATGAACATATATTACACAATGTAATATCATGTCTAGTCAATGCAGATTTACTGAAAAGTGACATGATTTTTCAAAGTTTTTGGACTCATGATGTTTGATGAAGTGCCTTGTTTCATTGCCATGTTGCAGTTTTCCCAGAACATGCTAGGGGGCTCTGATGAATACAATGTAGTATGAGGGTCTGCATGGGGGGTCCACATTACGCTTTACGCAAAATTTATGGAGGCTCGCAACGCTTTACGTTAAATTCCGGGAGGCCGGCAACGCTTTACGCTAAATTCTGGCGCTTCGCTACGAATAACGCTAAATTCAAGTTGGTGTTGCAACGTTGACGGATCAAATTCACCGACAACGTCGCAAACAATAGCTGTGACGTACACCTTACAATGAAGCGCGCATGCTAGGTACTTCACACAGCATTCATAATTTGGTGCATAACGGAACCCACTTTAGAACATTCACTTCACCAACCTGCATCACCGGCGGATCCAGAAATTTATGAACGGCGGGGGGCGCACCACCTGACGTGACCACGTAAGCGCGGTGCGTCAGCGCAGGCGGAGAGCACGAGAGGGGGGGGCTTGGGGGCTGGGGCCTCCCCCAGGAAATTTTTAACATTGAGAGGCTCTCTGGTGTATTTTAGAGCCCGATTTCTGAGCAACTAACCAACGAACTAATACAGATTTTGTTTCGGTACATTCATGTGCCCATCAGTACATTTTACGACTGAGAAAATAAAAGTACATGCATTGTAAATATGTTCGTAAATTTCACGAAACGGGGTGAACAAGTTCGCGAAGAATTTCAGTTCGTGAAACAAGATTAAAAAAAAGGAGATGCCGCCTCTTGATAGACAACCCACCGGAGCACCGTATGCGATAAAATGCGCACAATCACGGGCATCACGTGAGCCATGGTGGGATTGTACCGCACACATGGACCCAGATGGGACAGGCAAGAAAGGGACAGACAAGATGAAGCAGAGATGAAGATGCGACTGAGATTGACTCCAGATGTGCTCCCGCCACCCGGCCAATACTGACCAATAATACCACAGAATTCCACTGATGTCATGGGTGCTCTTGTGTCCAGACTAGACAATAGAAATCCTGGGTACGACGTTGACCTTACAGGTCATCCGCTGGTTGCTGGTTCGTCCGCTACGGCTTACGAAAAATGGGAGTCCAGACTACGATTTACGGGGAATTTTTAGGCTCGATTACGCTTTACGTGAAATGTGCTGGCTACGCTTAACGGGAAATTTTCGCCTCCTCACTACGAATTACGGTAAATAAAATAACTTCCCTACGAATTACGGGAAATTAAAAAGGCCCGCCTACGCCTTACGGAAAAGAGCATGCAGACCCTCTAGTATCATGTCAGATTTACTGAAGTGTTGGTGTGATTTTTCAGAGCTGTCAGACTCTGCAGGAAGTCCTGCCGACACGCGGATGACCATGTTGGGGAACAAACTGGTGAAGCTGGGCAGAACCTACGCCTCTTCAGACAGGTTCTTCCCTCTGGGTAAGGCTGGACACATTACACATGCTTCAACTGCAGATTAAGAATCTCAATAGAGTAAGCAACACTTCCGTGTATGTAGTCGTCTGCATTGAAAATGGGGTCTAAGCAGAATAAACCATGCTAAAAATAGTGCTGTGTACCGGTTTGGACTGTAAAAATGTTTAGGTTCAAGTAAAAAAAACTGAACGTCCTGAACTAGAAAAAAAACATGTCACGTGTTGCAAAATGAGGAAGACATTGCCATTGGGCATCGTCAAGTGTTGGCCTCCGTAAATTATGTGGCCACAGTTTTGCCCAGACGTGCCCAACAAACAACATACCGGTACATATCTTGCTTCTAAACCCTCAGGTAGTGCAGTGCTTGCTACAAAATTTTGTGGTAAGATGACCCATTTTTCATTTCGAAATGTTAACTCAGAGAAGTCCCTTCTGTATTTTGTATATGTCCTGGGTTTAAGTCTGAACCTAAGCCTCTGGACTTGAATCCGGACCTGGACCTGAACATGGGTTTAGATACACAGCACTAGCTAAAGCATAGCTCAACAGCATTGTTATAGTATGTATCCATAACAGTCTTTTTTGTACACCACAGCGTTTTTAGTGAAACTGTTGGAGAAGAAGGTTCTAGAGTTGGAGTTTGATCAGGACTGGGCGTTCTCCACCCTGCTGTCTGTCCCTGTACCTGTCTCCAAACTCCTCACTATCTACGACAGGCTCTTCAAGGCAAAGGTACAGGGAACAGTGGTGTAGTAATGGGGTCATGTGGCGTAAATGGTAGCGTGTTTGGCTCAGGACGAAGAGGTCCTGGGTTCGAATCCTACCTATATCACCGATCTTGTGCCCTTGGGAAAGGCACTTTTAAGTGTTAAAACACAACTTTCCTCACTCAGGTGGAAATGACTACCTAGCTTTGGTTAGGGATGTCCCTGGGATAGGGCATTAAATGGAGGTCCTGTGTTGGAGAGAGCAACACTCCAAGCATAAAGAACCACCACACTTATTGAAGAAAGTAGGGGTCCTTCCCGGTGTGAGTGATTCAAACCTTACAGTCCGGTCTTACTCAGCTTGTACTTGTACAAAACTGGTGTGTTACACCTAACAAAGGTGGTTTACCAGTTATGCGAAACAAACAAAACAACAGGAAAGCCAATATTTGCTGATATTTAAGTGATATATGTAGAATATTTCCCTCTCCTTCTTTTCTGAATATGTTGTCCATTATCATTACATATACCTGAAGTGCCCACTAGCAGAGAAGCGAATATTGCAGCTTTGCTTTGCAAAGGGACTATTTTCATTGCCATAGTGCTTTGTGCAGTTTTCCCAGAGCATGCTAGGGGGCACTCATGAGTATACGCAATGTAGTATCAAGAGTAGTCAATGCAGATTTACCTGTTTGCTTTTTTCTGGACGAGCCAGAAAACAAGGATATTCATTAATTCAGCCCTTAAAGCCAGCTTTGAAAAATGTTGGCCAAAAGAACATCTAGTAAACTAAGTATTGTTACCAATAATTACCCTTGTGGTCTATCCCCACAGTTTCAATGTCAATGTTGGCAAACTGATTGTACAATGTTTCATCACTCAGGTGTCAGATCATGGGGCTATCAGCTCAAAAAATGTATGTCCCTTGCAGGGGTCCACACACAAAAAAGCCTAGGGTCTGCAGTTTTTTCTAGGGTCAGTCGGGAAACAGGACATTTTTTTTCCTAGGCCTAACCTTCAAAGTTATAATAACACATAAGATTAATGTTAGCCCTACAGTACAAGATGTACCAAGATGAACCAGAGTTCTGTAGCAGTCATTTATTAAACGTTCCATCCTCTTGTTAGTGTATAATCAGGTTTTAACCCATCCTGTATCCTTGCCAAATGAACCACCCTCAGATCTTTTGATACCAGCATTCCCAACTGGACTCCCTGGTTCAAACTAGACACGATAGTCGTCACAGACATTTAATCATAGTTATGGGAACAATAGAGAAGTATTGAGTGGGAGGGTGTGCTCACACAAAACTCGGGGTCCTTTTGTTCCGAAGTTTCTACCAGAACTGTGACTGTAAATCAGATGACATCGGAATGCCACAAAGATTTGACTGCCATTCTTCTAGACTGCAGGAAGCATCTTTTGTAGAACATTATCCAGTTAGAAATTAGACCTCTTTGTCCATTTATTACACTGAAAGTTCACAGGTACTACTTACTGACTCTTATCCCTCCATGGAGTCTGTAGGAAAGAACTAGGATAAAACAGTGGCAAGTCTTTGAGGTGCATCATTATCACAACTTTCTTCATTTTTCATACTACTTATTTCAGGCTGGCAAGTTGCTATGGACCACAACCTGTGAAAGAAAGGAGCTACTAATAGTTATTTTAGATTACACAGGAAAGGTTTTCCATTTTATGGCTAGCAAGAGAAAAATTGCAACAGTTTAGAGCAGAATTCTGGGTATATCCAACCACATTATTCTGTGGACTGTTAAAAACTTGAAGAGAAACAGGTCAAATACAGCAAGTGTTTTTGGAGTGGTGGCACCAGTGACACAATAGTTAGAGCACTCAGAACAAAGATATCCCGGGTTTGATGCTCACCATATGCAATGCCCCGACGTTGTGTCTTTGGGAAAAGCCACTTTACATGACTTCCCAACCAGTACGGTGGAGTGACACACACCGAGCCTCGTAGGCTAATCAGTGACTATGGATTTGATGCGCCAATGTGCCAACATTGTACATTTGCCACCAAGAGCCGTAAAGTTATTCTAAATTGCAGTAAATGACTTCTTCTTTCCTTTTTGGAGTAGCACATGCATGTACACGCACAGATGCCTTCAGCATAAAGACAAACAATATGTACACTATGTACCATCAATGTCACCTTGCTCAGTATGCAAGGCAAGTTCAGCCACCTGCTGGGTAGTTACACAAGAAGTGACAAAAACACTTTACCAGATGTGGATCCCGCTCGCGACTAAAGCCCGTAATTTGTATCCTAACTCCCACTGCAGTCTTGACTGGGAGCTCTGCCAAGGCAGCAGTATTACACAGGGATAAATACAGAGGTAGGAAACAGACTGTAGAAAAGATAGGAGGACTCATGGACTTTCTGTGTAGAACCAGGTGCAGCCTTAGATAGGGAGACAACTGGTGGCCCAAGGTTGTCTGGAAGACAAAGTATTAATAAAATTCTGCCCTAAAGTAATACAAATGTAATTGTATGGCCGGGATAGGTGCCAGTTTTGAGGACACCACAGAGGTCATTGGTCGTAGAGACCACGGTGTAACTAATGGAAGAGTGGCTAGGATACGTACATGTACAATTCCTTCATAAATCAGTAGGTAGGCATGACAAGATACAGTGTAGAGAGATAGCCAGAGCCATCAGACCTTCAGAAAGACACACCTTGTCCTCCAATTGAATCTTAAGTTTCACCATGAATAAATTTCAGGTGAAGCTGTTACATTGACTTTTAGCATTCTACTTGTAAGGCAAGAAGAATTACATGTACAATGCCTTGAGGCTAAGACATCTTCTGGCTTTTAAGAAAGCTGAAAGAGCATTAGGTATTTGGGGAAAGAATAGCACAACTTGTCTCTATATCCAATGGTTTATAATGAAACCATTCTGGCAAATAATACTTAGGCCTACGAAAAAAATGTTGTGTTTCCTGACCGACCCTAGAAAAAACTGCCAACCCTAGCCTTTTTTTTGGGGGGGGGGTGGAGCCATGCAAGGGACATACATTTTTCTAGCTCCATGATCGGACACCTGAGTGATGAAATGTGGAACAATCAGTTTTGCAATATAAGGGTCCTGGTGCAAGTTTTACTTTGTTAAACTGTACTGTAAGTTAAATCACTAGAGTGTAACTGTAAGTTAAATCACCAAAGTCTAATAAAAAAGAAAGAAAAAGAAAGAAGGAAGGAAGGAAAGAGAGAGAAAAAGAGAAAGAAAGGAAGAAAGAAAGAAGGAAGGAAAGAAAGAAAGAAGAGAGAGAGAGAGAGAGAGAGAGAAATAATCCCTACCTACCGACCCTAATTTTTTTTCTGGACTGAAACAGGAAACAACTTTTTTCCTAGGCCTTACAGGGTCACATTTAGTCTGAAAAGATGTTGGGTGTTACTACAGTGTAGTTACTGTACATTATAAACTGTGTTTGCCCCAGGACCCATGTTGGCAGGCAGCGAGGCGACCGCTCCATGTACTGGAGGCCATCTTCTTACTACTGACCAAATATGCCACAGAGCCATCACTCGTACCAGCTTATGAAAGGTAATGGTTCTCTCACTGTATTTCTTTCATTTCTCAATGTAAGGCCACACCAATTTAATTTGTTGGTTCTTGGATTCGCCTCTTCATTTTTTTCTGATTTGCAAAAAAAAATTGAAATTGAAAAAAAAAAACTAGATTCTGGTTCTGAATCAAATCAAACATGCTCATATTTTGCCCCCAATAGTGGAGAAAAGTCCTTTTCTTCCTAGTTGGTACAGTTTTTCCATCTAATAAAGTATCCATGCAGTGGTTTGATTAAAAGTTCAAAATTCATTGTTTAAATATTATCCCAGCCTTTTGTGTTGACTTCATGGCTCCTATCATAGCATTTGGGGATATGATAGGATGCCTAGACCCTAGGCCCTGTCGCTTCATATTTTTTCTGAAAAAATCCGAGAACCAACAAATTAAATTGGTGTGGCCTAACCATTCTCCTGTGGCAGAGCTATCCCGTGGCAAATACGTTAGCTACGCTGTGGAAGCACCTCTGCCTCATGAGAATGAATGTAACATGCCTAGGGCCAAAATATAGTAGAGGGGATTCATTCCTCAAGCTAACCGACATCTCGCACACGCAGTCGTCCCTCAGTAAGACATCTGGAGCCGCATAGTTCCCGTTTAGAACTTTTAGACCGGTTTCGCCTTGGGCCAAAATTTACTTTTTTAAAAATTTTGCCCATAACTAGTAAGTTTCTTGACTAAATGTATACTGGCACAGAAATGTTGCAGCAAAATAATGCTATATTCTGTACTCAAGAACTCGGTACATTACCGACTCATATAAATGCCGCAAAAGGCCAGCATGTCCTTATGTATTACCCCAAATTCACAATACCAGGTTTGTATTCATTTGGTTCAGCAGTATTTTTTTTTCTAGCTGAATTTCTTTTATTCGCCTGCGCACACTAGTTTGAGGATGTCATCCATAAAAATAAGTCAGTATGGCCTAACCTTGACCTCAAACCTACCTTCCTTCAATGATCCTGCTCAATTCTCCACACTCCCTACTTACACAGTTATGTCTTTTTAAAAGTTGTATTTCCTCTGGAATCTTGATATATGGATTATGTACAAATACCATTACCTTACAAACACATCACTCTTTGAGGGGATAGGTTTTAAAGCATTTGCAGCTCAGCTTGTGTCCAGATGTACAGGTGTGATAACAGTAGACCTGGGCCTTGAATGTCCAAATTATTACAATATGATACAACCAGGGGCCTTTTGTTATCCTAGTGATTTTGACTTTGTCCATATCTCATAGCAAAGTGCTGCTTTGCTGAACAATATGAGTAAATCAAGCTTTTGTTGCTTTGTTGATGTTCAGGATCTTTGGCATGGATGAGCACCTACCTCCAGGCCCGCAGTCAAGTAGTGTACTTTAATGGTCATTTTTCTGAATCACATCAGGTTGAATGTGGTGTCCCACAGGGTAGCTGCCTGGGGCCACTCATTTTTACATTGTTTACTAATGATTTACCATTGTCAGTCTCGAATTGTGCAACGGAAATGTATGCAGACGATACATCTATGTATAAAGCTTCTAAGTCCATTGTCGAGATAACGGCGGCTTTACAATCTGACCTTGTTAGGATTTCAGAATGGGTAACAATTAACAGACTTGTCATGAATGTTTTGAAGACTAAGAGCATGCTTTTTGGCACACCCCGTAAACTGGCTCTTCTACCACATTAAACCTGGTTATTGGAACGGAAAATATCAAACAGGTGGAAGAGACTATGTTACTCGGTCTACATATGGATCAGTCCCTTACATGGAACTTGCATGTCAATGACATACTTGTTAAACAATCAAGGAACATTGCGCTTGTGCGTAGACACGCATGGGCCATGTCATTCGAAGTCTGTAAAGTTGTTGTTTGTGCAATCGTTCTATCACTTGCACAATACTGTTTACCAGTGTTATCCAATATGTCTGCTTCAAACACCCAGAAATTGCAAGTTGTACAAAACAGAGCCTGTAGAATATTGTTGTCTAGATCATTTGATACACCTGTTAAGGAGATGCACAGGGAATTGGGATGGCCTTTGGTCAAAGACAAGTTTGTTATTAGCACGTTGAATATGTTCTTCAGAGTGCTATCCAGTAAGGAACCCCAAATCATATATGATTCACTTGTTCCAATCCAGTCAACCCACAAATATTCAACCAGATTTTCAGCTTCTAACAGTTTCTTGCTCCCCAAACCAAAAACAAACAGTAAAAAAAGAACATTTCAGTATCGTGCAATTGACCTTTGGAACAAACTACCACAACACATCAAATCACTGTCAAGCACATCTAACTTTAAAAAAGCCATCCGCCACCTGTTCACACAATATGAGTCCTGTGATTAGAGTGTGAATTGGGTATCTTTCATTTGTACATAATGTAATAATGTAAATTTCCTCTTTATGTCATATGTGTATTTTTTACTATGTCATATGTTGTTTGTATTGTATGATCTTTGTATGAACCCTGGAAGACTAGCCAGTTTTGGCTAAAGGGTATCGTAATAAAGGAATAAAGGAGCAGTCACTTTTCAATGAAGGAAATAATTTGTATTGTTTTAACAGTATATATTAAGATATAACTGTTGCTCAGTGTAAGCTAATGCTTACAGTGTTTAACGTAAAACGTGATCATCAAAGTTGAGTTGTGATCCTTTGTTCAGCCTGTCTTAAGTTTGGAACGTCGTTTATTCCTTTCAGAAAACCTGTGTTGGGTGGGAGTTATGTCAAGAACCAGAGGTTTTTATTTGTTTTTATTTATTTATTGCAACTGGCTTGCCCCTACAGCTATTCTTCGCTGATTTCTAAGGGGGGCCAATGAAGATGCAATTCCTATGTGTCAGCTAGCATTTCTATGGCGTTCTCATCTTCTAAAAACCCTGATGTTCAAAATGGACTGTGCTTCTTTCCCTGTCCTGTTTGATCACTGTTTTCCTTCCATGTTCTGTTTTCTTCCAGAGATCACCCTTGATGTACAATTTATCGTCTGCTTGCCATCTATATCACATCTGCTTGGTTTTTCCTTGCTCCAGGTTTAGGGCTGCTCTGAATAGAATCTGTTGCTGACGCCTTATTGATTAGAAGTTGATTACAGCTACTGTCAAAGCTGAAATGATGCAAAACTGTTTCTTTCATTACTGTCATTCTAGCAAGATAGTGGGGCCTTTTCTGCATATCAGATGTACTTTGCAAGACGAATAATGTACAAGCCCAGCATAAGATCAACAGTCTAAACTACCGCTTGACACTTTTTATGCAATAGGGAATTCTTAAAATAAATTATATGTACTACTAAAAATGTACTAAGAATAATTTAAAGGTAATATCTTACATAATGATACTGAAACATTTACTGATTCCTGTGATTGTAGTTTGTACCCCAGCAAAAATGATAACAAAAATATGAAGTCATTTAGCTGCAATAAACAGGCAATTTGACGTCTTAGCTTCTTTCCTTCATTAAAAGAAGGAACTCAAGCACTGGTCTTCAAGGGCTCCAGGCCGTCTTTCTCCCACCCTTCTATCCCAGATTCTGCTTAAGTTCTTTCTTAGCTTGCTACATGTGCATGGCTGCAAGAGATGCTGCATCATGGGGATGGTTCAGAAGGTTCTTTGTCAATCCTTACTGAGCCGATTTCTTTCCTGTCACTCATCATGGGGATGGTCCAGAAGGCTCTGTGTGAATCCTTACTGAGCTGATTTCTCTCCTGTCTCTCATCATGGGGATGGTCCAGAAGTTTCTGTGTGAACCCTTACTGACCTGATTTCTTTCCTATCTCTCTCCCCACAGACGACAGTTCACCATGTTCTGCCTGGACTGTATAGCCAGCTACCTGGTGGAGGTGGAGGCCATGAGTAGTACAGAGGCAGGGGTACAGGAACTGGTGCGCAACTTCAGGGGGCTACAGGCCAGGCTGGAGAGGCTGTTGTGACCTTGACACAAGGTCAAATCTATCGTTAGGATTTACTAGTAGCAGCACGTTGGTAGAACATACTGCACCTTCGCAAAACCCGTAATGTATTGTGCATAGCACCTTGGCAGAATCATATTCATGTATAAAGTTAACATCCCGTCTGTAGTTTCCAAAGGTTATGTCGGAAAACATATCGTCTGCAACAGGCAAAAATTCTGATGCAATGGTGACCAAACATCCAACGAAAACCGTGAAAAATCAGAGTTTCGCACAGGCGCAGTACGTTCTGCCAACGTGCTGGATTTAGCAAAGAACCCGGTGTCATTTGGATGTATTTTTGAGAGAAAACAAAAGAACACTGAGAATGCCAATACTGTTATGACTTAGGGAAAAGGTTACTTGACACATGTTAGGACTACCATAAATCCAACATTGCTGAAAAGCTAGGAGAATGCTAGTTAGATAAATTGCTTATTTTGGAACTTTTTCAATGATATTTAGACAAGGTTCAGTAAACAGCAAAGCATAGGTTTGAAATTTGCTGGTCTTTCTAAAGTATTCAGGGATCTTTTATACCTACACCATTTTTCTTCTAGGTAATAACTGATGACATAGTGCCATGAATATGAAACATTTATAATACCCTAAACATCATGTAAAAGCACCAAAGGAAAAAGAACAGTCAAATTATTATGGAGCTAAATTATGATTCTCGTTTCCTCATGGAAATGAGGATTTGGGGATTCCTGATTAGCTTTATATCATGGTTGATAATAAATGTCATTAAAACAGTCGTGCTTCATTTCATATGAGGAATGAGACGAAAGAAGTTAACTTTTCTGTCATTTGCTTACTACATATCACTCTAGAGCAGTGTTGTTCCTTTTAAAGGCATCCAATGCGATTTCAGGGCAGCAAAACTGGAAATATTCTGAATAAGGCAATCTTTGTGATATTGACACATACTGCTTCACACTAGCATATTTGAATAAGCATTTCATACTGCGGGCATTTAAAACTGCAGAAACAAGCTCCAAGACTAGTACTTCATTTTCTGGGTGGTACCCTAAAAATCGGCCCAGGACCCTTCAACTAACCATTTTCCGTCAGAATTTTGGAATTTTTGCTCCATGAGGGTCAATATACACTGGGATATTGTAGTTTCAACTCAGTATGTAGATAAATGACTAGAATATTGGCTTTGAAAAATCGGGTTTCCAAGCCCTAAAAACTGGCATTGGATGCCTTTAAGTTTGTTGTCAGTGTCCTCAAATTTACCGCTAATGTGCAGCATATGGAAGCATGCGATAAATTTTGCATGTAATGTACTATTAAATCATAATGGGACTTGTTTTTCTGGTGCAGCTAATGGTATCCTGTATAATTACAACCTAGCCCTGCACAAAATTACCTCGGAGCATCTCCCTTCTGAAGACGCAATGTCACCTTGATGTCAAAGGAAAATTGGAATTTCTAAAAGGTTCATATTTTGGCAGAAGCTCTTCTTTTTCCTGCCAAGTGAATATTATTTTCTGTACAATAACTACAAACTGTAATTACATCGCATATTCATTGTCCTTTTGGTGGTTTGAATGTAAACTTGAAGACCATTTGGGAAGAAGAATGTGTAATTTTCTGTAGATGTCTTGCAGGTGACTTGGGCCCATAAGGCCACAGCAAGTAAATTTTATGGATCACATCCTCTGCAGACTCCAAATGTAATGCGATAGGACAAAAAAAAACAAGGCGGGGGAAAAAACAAGATTCCTACATCTTCAAATTTTGGCATCATAAACCTTGTTAAACATGAAATTAAAGATACCTATATTCTGCTAAGTTTACTGCCAATTATTACAACATCCATTTCTCACTGAAACAGCCTGGAAAAAGAATGAACGCATCACTGCATCAAAGTAAAAGGAATTTAATGCATTACTGCATCCAAGTAAAGGACAAAACATTAAATCAGAGCCTTGTCTTGTCTCCTGTCTTCATATTTATCTGCCATCCACGTTCTGGCATGGCAACAGACATCTTTGCCTATTTTCGGCATGTTGACCACTGTCAGAGGGCAACAAAATTTCTTGTTTTTTTTTCTCCAAAATCAGGCAAAAATCAATGCGCGTTGATGTCATCCATAAAAATTAGTTGCTTTTGCCTAATATATGTGAAGGTTGGTGCAGCAAAACTGGAATGAATGCAAATGAGGATGGCCTTTCAAGTGGAAATAATTTAGTAGTACTTAACTTTGAACTTTTGCATTGATAGTAAGCTGACAACGTGGTCTTATGTACGTATAACATTCCTATGGGTTTATATGAGGTCCATTTGAGGACCATATTTTGTATGACAAACAGAGTCCTTCACTTGAATGTAATGAATTGTAATAAAAAAGCAGATTTCAGAGGGTGCCCATGTGCTGTATGTTTAGATACTCCCTACACTAGGAATTAATTTCCATACATATATACTACTTATACATAGTAAATGTATATTAAGTAGTATGTATATTTTCAGGCTGTAATATTTTGACTTTTAAAATCTAATTTAGAGAAAGTGACATTGGTTTTTACAAGACAAGACTTGTAAAAGGAAAATGTCATTCTTTGGCAAACCACTAACCTCACTCTTTACAACTCATTTGACCTTTACAGTATTAGAGATGAATTACCATAAGCAAGAATAACAAATTTAATGGTGATCTAAAATGTGATTTTTTAAATAGGGTTATTGACTTGGAATCTGATTCAGAATGTTCTGGGTTTGAATTCCTGGCAGGCCCCAATATTGTGTCCTTGCGATAATTGGGAAAGGTGCTCAACACCTATTTCCTTTCATGACTCAAGCAAAAATGAGTACCTAGCTTCGGTTAGGGATGTCCACTCTAACAACATGTAGCAAAATAATTGACACATTTTCAGTAAGCTGAAACAAATTCAGCTTGCTAGCAGAACCTCTAATGTTCTATTATACAATGTACACAATTCCATACCTCTTTAAGATTTTTACAACAAGAATTATGACAGTTACATGCAATAGTTTTGTGATGTGGTTTCTACGAATAAGACAAATTTGCAAACCTGTGGTTGAATAGAATAGAGGCAATGTATAATAGTGTTTACTTCTATAATAGGCCATTTACATTCAGAGTACCAGATGATTTTGGCTATGAAAAGCAGCCTTTCCAGTTCAGTACCACTCAGTGTAGCTCTATTTAAAGCCCATGAAAGAATGTCCAGCTTTGTTCAATACTACAGCAAATGAGATAGAAACTTCATTGATCTGACTAGGAATACCAGCTGTACTTTTGGTTTGTTCAATAAGGATAGCCAGGCACACTGCCAGATCTAGATGTAGTAGAGAAGCTGCCTTCAAGTTGACAAATGAATTACAGAACCAGTGGCAGGTTGATATTAGGCCATGTTGATTTGACTATATGGATGACAACCCAAAACTGATGTGAGCATGCAAATACTAGTAAAAAAAAAAGTTTGGCCAAAAAAAAAAGTTGCTTTCATTATGAATTCTAGGTGGTCATGAAGGTTGAACAAATGACACAAACAATATCCCAAACCCATTCAGTAGAAAAATGAGTAGATGTTGCGATTACTGACAAATCTTCCTATCAGTAATTAGAACACAAGTGGCATTATATTTTATTGGGATGGTGAATGATATACTCTTCATTTTTATTCCTTCACATTTTCTTGTCCTTTGGAATGGAGTTTGGTATTCTGCGACATAAGTATTGTTTTCTAATTTTTTTTTTCAATTTATGGCATATATTTGCTCATTTTGCAGCTACGTAATACTATATATATATGTTTTGTACGATTGACGGTTTGGTCGAAAACTTTTTTGGGGAGAAACGGATGAAAATTCATGCAGATGTTATCCATATAATCAAGTCAACATGGCCTTATGAAATGTCCTTATGGTTCTTAAAATATTCATAATGGTGCTCAACCATAGTGCACAATCCAAATAGAATATAGGAGACGCACACCGATAATAAAAAAATCTATATTTCCTCAATGAAAAATCTATAATTCCTAAATGTGGCTTTTTTGGGGTTGTTCACATGTCCAGACACATGATATATGATCAGTGCTTGTTCTCAAGATATTCATGGTCGTACTTTAACTATAGTGTATGTGTGCTATCTAAATAAAAGAAGAGTGGGTCAACTTTGGACAATAGAAGATATATCTTTCCATGATGAAAAATCTATAGTTTGTAAAATTAATACAGCAGGGCTTGAAATTAAAGGTGGTCCAATGGCCACTGACCTCTAAAATTTAGGCTGGGACAACTAAAAAGACACTTTGGGACATTTTTGGGACAATAGCAAAATAATCAACATTAGAATATCAGCCCTTTTTTGTTTATCAGGCACACATCCTGGCTTTTGGATCTGGAAAAGTCCCCCCGAATTTCCTGTCTACACTGCAATTATGTAGTGCACCTGGGAGTGAACATTAATATATATGGTCAGACAGGAGTATAAATCCCTCCTACTATAAAATTGCAACATTATGTAACCCAACACCAGTTACCATGGTGAGAGACGTAAACAAATCAGGTCATTGGCCAGGTCAGAGGTCAAGTGTTTGGAACAGAAGAAGAAGAGGAAACATAGCAAAAACAAATATGTTCTACTTCGGTAAACATAAAAAGTTCATTTCGAGGCCTGAATGCAGGTCTTTAAATTTGTGGCCCACATGTCTGGACACATGATACATGATCAGTGTGTGAATGTCGTTCCTTCTTACCCTGCTCGGTTTGCGAGCCAGCGGAATCGATAGCGGCTAATTTTCCATCAGAATGGCTATTGACCACCGTGGATCATGCACAAGCCGGTAGTCTTTCATTTCTGAAGGTATTTGGCAACCACATGAGGCTTTGTAGGGAAGGTAAACCGAGGACAGTCGTAAATACAATACCATGATCTCCCCTTGTATAGATGGTGGTAATGTGAATCAAAGCTTACTTTATTCTGTTACATTTTGTTCTACCAGCATAAAAGAATATAGTGTGTTTAGCATTGCCATACTTTTATTGGCCTTTTCATACAATATGTTACACACCATTGCATGTTTTAATCTGCAATGGTTTTCAAATGCTTGCAATGTGTACATGTATACTTATACTGTATTGGCCCAGCCATTCTGTAAAATAAAAATGTTCTACCCTCTGGATATCCCTTGTCGTTAGGCTTATCCCTTGGCCACCTGGGGACCTACAATGGCAATGATGTTAACAGCAGGAGACGAAAGTAAAATTAGAAATAAACATGTTGAAGAATAGCCAAGCATTTATAGTGAACCATTTTATCAATCAGTAAGCTGGCTTAAACTAGAATCATAGGTGGATGCATGTACATGCTTAACCACAAAAGTCCAGTATACTAAAGGTAGCCATTTGGCACTGAAGTTTTATAGGTTGTGAAGTTAGGCGGCAGGGAGAGGGTTAAATTCTAACCAATGTTTCAGTACCTCATGAGATACGTTACTGGTACTCGTAAAATGCTAAGTAAACATGAAATCTAGGATTAACGTTGATTGAATTTGCAGTGGGTTTTGGGGAATATTGTAAATGTTCAATGGTAGGTATAACAATTATAATGTCCCTAGTATCTAAGCAGAGGTTTGGAGGCTAGGTAGCTCTAATCAGAAGAAGGTAAGTGAGGCGACACCAATTTGATTTGTTGGTTCTCGAATCTTTTCAGAAAAAAATGAAGTGACAGGGTGAAAGAAGATAAGAATAAAAACAGACCAAGACATCCTATGATAGCCCCAAAGTCAACATACCAGGCTGGTTTGTAATTCAAACAACAAATTGCAACCTTTTATTCAAACCACTTCATTGATAGATGGAAAAACTGTAACATCTCTGAAGAGAAGGGACTTCCTAGAACTGTTGGGGCCAAAACAAATATGAGCATTTGGAGTCGATTCAGAGCCTGAAATGTTTTTTTTTTTTGCAAATCAAAAAAAAAAAATGAAGTGGGTGAATATGTGAACCAACAAATTAAATTGGTGTGGCATCCCTAACAACCATCTGTTTAAAAAT